AAGCTTTATGGAATTAAAAATTCTTATAGATTTATTATTTAATACGTATTATAGCAAGAGATTAATATTTTGAGAAAGGGTTGGATTTGTTGTATTAAGGGCAAAATCTATATAAAATTGGTTTGGTTGTATTGCAGGTTCTTTAAATTTAAATCTCAAGTATCTTTCCCCAGGTTTAAACAACTGAACATAAAATTGGTAATAATTCTTGAATCAATAAAGTCAATTTAATCATTTAAGACGAAAAAGTAAAGAAAACAGAAAAATTGCTAAAAAGTATTAAGTTGGTAGGATATCTGTATGATTAATCTTCATCTTCATATTCATCAATTAAATAATCACCATTGAAATACTCTAAGGAGTCAGGTAAATTAGGTAAATTTGTTATTTGAGTTTCATTGCAATGGAGTTTCGTTAAGGAGTCAGGTAATGTTGGTAAGCTTGTTATTCTAGTGTAATTACAGTCAAGATAAGTTAAGGAGTTAGGTAATGTTGGTAAGCTCATTATTTCAGTATAATTACAGTCAAGATAAGTTAAGGAGTTAGGTAATGTTGGTAAGCTTGTTATTTTAGTGTAATTACAGTCAAGATAAGTTAAGGAGTTAGGTAATGTTGGTAAGCTTGTTATTTTAGTTCCATTGCAATCGAGTTTCGTTAAGGAGTTTGGTAATGTTGGTAAGCTTGTTATTTCAGTTTTGTAGCAATGGAGTTCTGTTAAGGAGCCAGGTAATGTTGGTAAGCTTGTTATTTGAGTTTCATGGCAATAGAGTTTCGTTAAGGAGTCAGGTAATGTTGGTAGGACAGTTATTGGAGTTTTATAGCAATGGAGTTCTGTTAAGGAGCTTGGTAATGTTGGTAAGCTTGTTATTTCAGTATGTTCGCAATGGAGTTCCGATAAGGAGTCAGGTAATGTTGGTAAGCTTGTTATTTGAGTTCCACTGCAATCGAGTATCGTTAAGGAGTCAGGTAATGTTGGTAAGCTTGTTATTTCAGTTTCATAGCAACTGAGGTCTGTTAAAGAGTTTGGCAATATTGGTAAGCTTGTTATTTGAGTTATTGAGCAATCAAGAAATGTTAGGGAGTTAGGTAAGGTTGGTAAGCTTGTTATTTGAGTTTCATTGCTATAGAGTATCGTTAAGGAGTTTGGTAAAGTTGGTAAGCTTGTTATTTGAGTTCCACTGCAATCGAGTATCGTTAAGGAGTTAGGTAATGTTGGTAAGCTTGTTATTGGAGTTGCATAGCATTCGAGTTCTGTTAAGGTGTCAGGTAATGTTGGTAAGCTTATTATTTTAGTATTACCGCAACGGAGATCCTTTAAGGAGTTTGGTAATGTTGGTAAGCTTGTTATTTGAGTTTTATAGCAATACAGTTCCGTTAAGGAGTCGGGTAATGTTGGTAAGCTAGTTATTGGAGTTGCATAACATTCGAGTTTCGTTAAGGAGTCAGGTAATATTGGTAAGCTTGCTATTTGAGTATTATTGCAATCGAGTTTCGTTAAGGAGTCAGGTAATGTTGGTAAACTTGTTATGGGAGTATAGTGGCAACCTAGTTCCGTTAAGGAGTCAGGTAATGTTGGTAAGCTTGCTATTTGAGTATTATTGCAATCGAGTTTCGTTAAGGAGTCAGGTAATGTTGGTAAGCTTGTTATGGGAGTATATTGGCAACCGAGTTCCGTTAATGAGTCAGGTAATGTTGGTAAGCTTGTTATTTCAGTTTTATAGCAATACAGTTCCGTTAAGGAGTTAGGTAATGTTGGTAAGCTTGTTATTTGAGTATCATTGCAATCGAGTTTCGTTAAGGAGTCAGGTAAGGTTGGTAAGCTTGTTATTTGAGTATCATTGCAATCGAGTTCCGTTAAGGTGTCAGGTAATGTTGGTAAGCTTGTTATATCAGACTTGCTACAATTGAGTTTTGTCAATTTTCGACATCTTTGCAATCCGCCAAAGGAATTCAATATGTAATCCTTATTATCATATGTAATGATTATGCTTTCAATAGTATAAAAAATAATTAATTCAAGATTTATGATTCTCTTTTCTATTTCATTAAGTATTTCTTGCTTTGCTTCACGTTCTCTAATCTTTTCTTCTAAATTATTAATAATTTCTTGCTTGGCTATTGCTTCTCGAACTTTTTCTTCTAAATAATTAATAATTACTTGCTTGGTTTTGGATTCTTCTCTAACCTTCTCTTCTAAATTATTAATAATGTATTTGGTTTCTTCTTCTTGTTCTCTAACCTTGTCTCCTAAATTATTAATATTTGTTTTGGTTTCTTCTCGCTCTTTAACTTTTTCTTCTAAATTCTTGAATTGCGAACGTAACCCTTCGTTATTTTGCTCTAAATCCTTAATTCTCGTTTCCAAGACTTTTAACTTTCTTTCAAAATTGTCCTTTAAAACCATATTTTTTTTTTGTTTAAATTGTTCGGATGGATTATTTCAATGAGTTTTTATTGCTTTTCTTGTCATCAAAAATTAACAATAGAAATGTCTTTTTTGCTCAGCCCTCGGTTTTAAAATTTTTCCAACCGTAATTTTAACCATAAATAGCCTAGTACGGTCGGATAACTTAGAAAGGCTAACCGCTTCTTGTCTCACCAAAATATAAAAAAAAGATATATCTAAGTAATATCAATCTGATCAATCTGATCATACTTTTGTATCTATTTAGATGTCAGGTACACGGACACAAAAATTGAGTTTTTTGTTACACAAAAAATACAAATGTTGTAATAATAATTTTTGGGTATACATATAAACTGTACTGTATTGTACGAAAGTGTTTTAGCCAATCATAACTCATTGTACACTTTTTTAATTTTTTATATTTATCGTACAATAAAATATGATTGGTTGTTATCATTTTCGTACAGTACAGTTTATATGTATACCTATAATTTTTGAAGGAGGCTAGAAGTAGCTAAGCTAAAACCAGTATGTTACACAGCAAACAAGGCCGCGCACATTTGGCTAAGTGTGAAAATTTCAAGAATTCCTTTCTATAGTAAAGGAAGTACTATTACCTGAGGAAAAATATATGGAATTTATTCGTATATAATTAAATAAATAATATATTTAATTTACTAAAATAATTTTAAAAAATTAGTTGATGATTCTTCTCTCCAGTTAGTAAAACGAAGGAGACTTTCTACTTTAATAGTATCAAAAGGCTTAACTTGTTAGCAAATGATTTATAAGAATTATAATTTCTAAAGGACTTCCTTTTTCTTTTGTGGAAAATTAAGAAATTAAAGGATTATTTAAGTTTGTTGCGCCTGGACTTATTATTCC